TAAAGAGGATTTTAAGACAATGCTGACTTTTGGCTGTAAATACAGCTCAGTTCAAAGTACGAATGCTGTGACATTATTATTAGAAGTTCCAGCTTTTTTATAACTTTGAAGATTGTGAGAAATAACTTGGTGTAGTTTCTTTGTTTAGTATTAACCAATCATCTYTCTTTACAGCCTTGATGAATGTAGGAATACCCTGGTGCAGTTTGGTGTGAAGGACTTGAGTCCTGCTGTTATTGCTAGAGTCATAGGTACGATATTAAGTATTTCATTGTTTAAACTAAACTGCATTTGAAACTTGTATGAAATAATGAACTTTCTCTTGAAGGTATGATGGTGAAGACTGTGATTGGACTTAGTCAACACATCCCTATACAGGTATTGATGGTTTAGTAGCCATTCTTTTGAAGTTTTTTTAATTCTCATTGCATTTGTTTATTTAACAGAATCTRAATAGCAATGCCAGTGCCTTGGACAAAGATGATAATCAACCAACAACTTGGAATGTAGATATTTTTATACAAATAGCTAATGAACTGGTAAGTTTTGAATGGAATTAGTAATTTGTTGAATTATAAGTAGTTGTTTGGAAAAAACATGAAATAATAAAATTTAAGGAAACAAAACGTATAAGTAGCTGATTTAATTCACGACGTTTCGGGGTCATTGTGACTCCATTATCAAGTGATACAAAATGAATGAATAATGAATAATATTTGCAAAATCAGTTCAAGGCAGATAATATTTCCAAWACAATTAAACAAACACTTTCAATGACCTGTGTTGTAGATTCCAATGCTGAACTGGCGTCAAGTAATCCTTGAACTAGATCACCCAGGATTCATTGTACCCAATGTTGAAGGACTTCATTTATTGATGAAGTTTATCAGCCGTGGCCTTAATGATGGATTCCCAATTGAAATACTTTACAGATTATGGAACAACACAGAAGGACAAGTAAGATTAATATTGTTTTCTTATAAAATATATTTTATGCAGTTCTTTAATTGTTTTTCATTTGTGGAAGCTGTTCAGAGTATTCAAGATAGATKTTTCACAATAAATATAGTTAGACTGAATAAAAGACTAAGGATAAGAGTGATGAAGTAAAATATTTAAAGCTAACTTTGTTTATCTTTTTCTTCAGCTGTCATGGATACAGTACTTGCTCAACAGTCCTGACATTTTCTGCTTTACCGATTACCCTTGTCATGCAGTTTTGTTAGACACATTGAAGATCTTACCAGAAGAGGAAACACGACAGATATCAAACTGGTTTGTAYTATAATACTTGTATCTTGTCACTCATTTTAAAGCTGTTATAGAAGAGAGTGTTTTCAAGTATTTTGACTGGTGCTCAATAAGACAGTCTCTTGGCTGTGTCATAATTATCATTACTCAAGTTATTAATGTTAAATTGCTTCCACTCTTTCACTGAAAGCTATTTTTAATATATTTTTGGTTTGTACAATATTTTGAAACATTTGTCATGGAAATAAACATATAAAAGAATCTTCTGTTGTGCCATGAGCAAGTACTGTAGTTAATTTGATTTGTTCATGCAGGAAATCCTTAAATCTTGTGGAAACACTGTTGGCCTTGGCTGAAGCTGGTCATTATGAGAGTGTCAAACATGCCTTTGCTTTTCCATTCAAGAACTGTCCTGATATTCTAGTTTTTGCTCTTCTACAAACAAAGGTAAGACTTTCAAAAACAGACAAATAGACAATATAAGATAATAGATAAAACAAACAGATAGACAGTTACACTGCCAAACAGAGAGAAGAACACGTGGACAAACAAACAATAGATAAAACAAACAGATAGACAGTTACACTGCCAAACAGAGAGAAGAACACGTGGACAAACAAACAAGTGAAACAATGAAAAGTCTGTTTGATAAACATTTGTACAAACACGTAGGCAGACAGCCTGTAACACAAGAAGAGTATATGTTAGATAACGTATGGTGCATTATTTTGTTTTCACTCTAACAGCCTATGTGGCATACACTTAAAAATGAGCTGTTGCTACAGCTAATGCCAATCTTCCTGTCCAACCATCCCAATGCTGCAAGTGTCCTGCAATATGCCTGGAATGGACAAGTAAGCHAAAACAATCTGTACATGTTTCTCCATAATAATTATTGTTTTTATGATATTTTGTTTTCATAAGCATGTKTTGTTTGGTTGTTGTTGTTTGTGATGTTACATGGGAACACTTGCGTTACAGGGTCAGTCTTCTTCAGTGCGTCAAATTGTGATGCAAGCAATGGCTGACTGGTACATGAATGGAGATCAAGATCAGGCAAGATTGTCACGTATCCTAGATGTAGCACAGGATCTCAAGGTATCTAAAAACATTGATCTAACTTACTGTACAGAAGAATGGTCTTCTCTCTCTGGTCAAGTGATACCTACTGTTAAGTGTTRACCTTATTACCTTCTTTTCCAGGCATTGTCAGTCCTTCTTAATTACCAGCCACTGGTCTTTGTGATTGATCTGGCGGCACTAGCRTCAAGAAGAGAATATCTCAAGCTTGACAAATGGCTTAATGATAAAATAAGAGAACACCAGGTTAAAATGCTTCCTTTTTACTTGTGTTTTTTTTCCTTCACATTCAGTTCATTTACCTCAGTGATTTGTAATTATAATGTTAGACAACTGAACTTGGTTTCAAAATCTTATCTAATAGGAGAAGTTTTCTGAGGCTCTGGTAGCATTCCTGAAGAGACGATGCCCACACTTACTGGGCSTTTCATTGGATAAAGATTTGCCTAAAAGTGTGCAGCTTCCAGCTGAAATAGTCATAGCAATGCTGAGCTGTTTGTCTAGTTGGTAAGTAGTAATTATGGTCATACATCTTTCTCTGTTGAGCCTCCTTCCTCTTCCCATCTATATTTCCTTTTTTATGATCCATTTTACTTATTCTTACTTTTTTTCAATGAAGTAATATGTTTAAATCATTGTCTCACCAGTCAAGTGTCTCCTCCATTGGCTGACACAATACGACAAATGATAGCCAACCATGGACCATTGGTAAAACCAAGGCCTAACCAATCAGCAATTGGTGGGTTAAAACGACAAGGTAGTTTGGACTCTGCACTCCCTACTCCACTTAACAGTCAGGTAACATTTCAAAATAGTATTTCAATTTTCTGATCATGTTGGAAAAGTTGTGTTAACACATCTAYTTTGTAGGTTGATCCACTTCCTGGTCTTGGTCTTTCCCAGCCAACRTCAACACCAAATTCTCAACTTCCTTCCTTCCCACCACATCCTCTTTCTATTCCCACTAGTAACTTGGGAAGCATTGGGTCTGGCATGACTCARCCCATCCAGAAACCTCCTTCATCCAACCAGTTTGGCCATCTTGGAATGCAATCTCCAGTGTCATCCAATTCTGGAATTAGTTCGTCTCAAAAYCCCATCTTTCAGCAGCTACAGCAGTCAGGTCTTGGTGGTACAGTCAGCGGWTCAAACCCCGATAGCTATAGGATGTTGTCTGGTTTGAGTAAGCCATTGGGAGGCAGCTCTATGTTACAACAACACCAACAACAACAGCAGCAGCAGCAGCAACAGCAACAACAACAACAGCAACAACAACAGGCTATGTTAGCACAGCAACATAGGACACCCACTCCTGATAAACTTAGACAAGGTTAGTTTTTGTGGGTTCACTGTGTGATTTTGGGTTTCCTTTGTTTCTTGTAGTGAGTGGTTACACATTACAGAAAGTACAGTGTATTAGTAGTATTGATGACAAATGCTTCCAGCTTTGTTAGTGTATTTAAAAGCTGGAATTTACTTTGTGAAGTAGATAGATTTGAAGTTTAGAATTGCTTTTCCAAAGCTGCATTGTAGTTAGTGCACTAATGACAGTTTCATGAAAGCTGCTCCATTATTATGCTTAACTCGTAACATCTTGTTATTTGTTTCAGACGTKTCTCAAGTATGGCCAGGAATGGAACAGTCCTTTAGTAAAGAAGTAGAAGATGARGCTAATTCATACTTTCAAAGGATTTACAATCACCCACCCAATCCTACCATTAGCATTGATGAAGTACTTGATATGTTGAAGAAATTCAAAGACAGTCCAATCAAGAAGGAAAAGGTCATTGTTTGAATATTGATATTTAGTTTTATGAGTAAATTTTCAGTAGCATATATCTGAGTGATTGATATCATTATTTACTTTATTGACATTTCATTTTGTTCTATGACCTSAACATTCATKTTTGCTTTGACTGAGAAATATGCTRTGTTSTTGTTTTCAGGACATCTTTCTGTGTATGCTGCGTAACTTGTTTGAGGAATAYAGRTTYTTTCCCCAGTATCCAGACAAGGAACTTCACACWACAGCTTGTCTGTTTGGAGGAATCATTGAACAAGGATTAGTCACGTAAGGCACACCCCTACAATCATTTTTATAATATCACTTTAGTTTACAAGCTCCTTTGAGGAGTAAGGAAATGACTGCTGTCTACATGTATATAAAAAACAGTAAAGGATGCTGTGGTTTCATATTGAAATGAGAATGTAAACTCGAATTCTACAAAGTTTGTTTTCTTTYTCCAGGTATATGGCACTTGGTATTGCATTACGATATGTGTTGGATGCACTACGCAAGTCTTACAATAGTAAAATGTACATGTTTGGTATTGCTGCCTTGGATAGATTCAAAACAAGGTATGAAACTTTGAAGAGACATGCAGTTGTAGCACATTTTCTATTCAAATTTCTTTTTGACATTTAAGCTTGAAATTGCATTAAAAATAACTTATTTCCTAATGAACTTTTGTTATTGATATTTGTCTTCAGGTTAAAGGACTATCCCCACTACTGTCAACATCTTGCATCCATCCCTCACTTCAGAGATTTCCCTCCAACATTGATAGAATTCATTGAATATGGACAGCARTCTAGAGAACCACCGCTTACAACTAGAACATTAACTCAGGATCAACAGGCATCTGCATGGCTAAGTAAYATTGTAAGTGGAGGTCTAATTCTATGTCTTTAATCATTACAGCTGATGCAGCGATTATTGGTTTATCCAAGCAAGGCATAGTTCCAATGCAATAGCTTATCTGTATTGAAAACTTTGATGGTGGACAGCACTTGAATGTGTGTCTGGCTCCTTTGTTGTTACTTTATTTTATTTTTTATAATATCAAACTTCCCCCAAAATGAAAATTACAACATTAAGATATAAAATGCAATATGTTAGACAGGACAGCAGAACTGCTACGGCTCAGCCAGTTACTCACAGCCCCCCAGTATATTTTGCTGATTATATTGTTTTGATTGTCTTGAAGTAAAACATATTTATGTGAGTTTTAAGTCTAAAAACCTTAAAAACATTTTGTGTGTTGTAGGATCCCATGACTTCTAGGCTACTCAATAGGACATCACTTGGGTCTGGTAGTGCWAGTCCTACATTTGCAACAACATCAGTATCGAAACCTGGTCAGACTACTAACTCTGGCACATCATCTGGGGCTCCTTCTCCTAAACCAACAGCTTCCTCAGGTAAAAAAMTAGCAAAATAATGTGACTTAAATGGTGGCAGGATTGTTGGTTTTGTTTGTAATGATGTTTGTTTTTCTCCAGAACTGAGTGCATCATCGGCAAATCGATCCAAAGAACCATCCATTGCTAATGCAAGTAACATAGACACACTTCTTGGAGCATCAGAAAAGAGTGAAATACAACAACCACCAGAACACATGCAAGATAAGATACACTTTATTTTCAACAACATCTCTGGTAGTAATTTAAAGCAAAAGGTATATATTTCTCATAAATAACAAACTCTTACATTAGCATTGTCATWTCTTACCTCTTAATATTAACTCAGACTCTGATAAAAGCTAAAAAATTRTAGCAGTATTTTTATTTCTTGTTTAAACACTAAAAAGTAGGCAATTAATTTATTGTGCAYGCTTTTATRACGTCATAGCTTATGCATGCGCTCTTTGTTTTGATGGTGAAGTTTTTATGTTATTTGTAATGATATTCATTGTAACCCTAAAGATGACCGCGTAGGTCGAAAGCTAGGTTTTATTCTATTAACACCAAGGTTGATGCAGCAAAGTGCACTATGAAGTTAAATCCAACCTACAATCATCTTTTTAAATTCACTAAAAAGTACTTGTGATTTCCAGGCTGAAGAGTTCAAGAATGCCATTCAACCAGAGTATTTACAGTGGGTCTCACAGTACATGGTGATGAAGAGAGCCAGTATTGAACCAAACTTTCACCAACTTTACATTGACTTTATGGATGCACTAGATTCTTTTCCAGAGTTTGGCAAGGAAGTCATACGAGAAACATTTAGAAATATTAAGGTGAGAAAAGAGTAACGTACTCAAGTCTTTCACAAAATTTGAAAAACTTCATATGAACAGTCAATGTTGTTATAACTAATGTTGTTTGTTATTGTTAATGTATTAGGTTTTGCTGCAGTCAGAAAAAGTACCAGCCAATTTTTCTGACCGTTCTTTACTCAAGAATCTTGGTCACTGGTTGGGTTTGTTGACAATATCTCGTAACAAGCCTATTCTGATGAGGGTAAGAGAATATTCAGCAACAACACATTGAGGCTTTGTGGGTTTTGTATGCATTTGCGTGCACATTACTAGAAAAAATTATTCTGGTCTGTCAGAGGAATATAATTGCTTATCTTTATGTAGAAATCTTGAAACTGTGAAGCTTAATAACTGACTATTTTGTTTATAGGATCTAGATCTAAAGTCGCTCATCATTGAAGCATACTTCAAAGGACAACAAGAGCTGTTATATGTAGTACCATTTGTTGCTAAAGTAATCGAGTCGGCTGCTAAAAGCAAAGTCTTCAAGCCTCCCAACCCATGGATCATGGCTATGATGACATTGCTTGTGGAACTACATCAAGTACCTGACTTAAGGGTAGGTTTATATGACTATATAACTGTACAGGGCAAGGATGTATCTTTGATGAAAAGACAAATTCATGTGAAACGTTGTGCATGTGTCACCAGTGAAGGAAATGATTGTCTGTCTTGTTCATAGATTGTACATCAATGAGTTTTCAAGCTTTTTTTCTCTTTGAAAGCTGACAAATTGATAAATTGAAAAATGTTTTTACTGTAAATTGTGTTTGTTTTTCTAGTTGAATCTAAAATTTGAAGTGGAGGTTTTGTGCAACACCTTGTCACTTGATATGAAGGTAAGCATGAATAAATGTCACCTTGCTGTAGGTGTACAGCCTTTTGCAAAAATTATGAGAATTGTCTAAATATCTAAATATCATAATATCTATATCCACATATTGTCCGGAACACGCGGGATTTGCTAGAATAATTCATTGTTGAYATCGAGAAAATGTTCAGAACTACGGATAAGTCTGTCGCCAAAAAAAACTAAACAACAAAGACAAGGGACTAAGGGCATCGCGYGGGATTACCCATCATGCACTCGATATTATGATATTTAGATATTTCGACAATTCTCATAGTTTTTGCAAAAGGCTGTACATGTATTAATAAATATCATAATATAAAAAAATATGAATCATGTGTCAAATCATTTCATCAGCTTTCTTGACATTGTTGCAGGATATCAAACCAACTGAGCTGCTAAAAGATCCTGAKACACTGAAAAAGATACCTCAACAGTTGTGTACACCAGAGAAAGAAAAACCAGGTATGATGTGCGCCATGTTTAATTTCTTCACACATTGATGATGTGGGAACAGATTTGCCTCTGATCTTTCCAAGAAGCAGACTTACCACTGTTTTCTCAAGTGCAAGGAACAGTAGCACTAGAGCAGSCTTGGATTTTTGGTGTTTKTCTATAAATARGTTTTATTGTGTGTTCTTGCAGATTTGCCAAGCACAGGTATACCAACTTCTGGAACTACTACATCTACTACAGCAGCAGGACAAACAACAACCACACCCCCACCCCCACAGTATGGATATCATGAGATCAATGTGTCTGGGTTTTCTGGTTTGGCACCTCATATCCAGATTAACCCACAGGTAACAGCAATTCCACCCTGCTAGGAGTTCTACAGTGTATATCCTCACTGGGATTTCTACACATCACTTTCATTCCAAAGAATACAGAAACGAATCTCATACAACAAATATATTTTGGATTTTCAAGAGAAATAATAGAGAAAAAAAATGTTCAAAGACTTCGTTTATTCTTTACTCCCTGAAAAACGTTTTTCTATATATTTACGATACTTGTTGATAATGTCATATATCCTAGCAACTGATCTTCTTTCTAAACTTCATTCCAGATTCCTCTCTTCCAACAAAACCCTCATCTCAAGCAGTTTGTTCGGCCATCAATTGAGCGTGCAGTTCAAGAACTTGTCCATCCTGTAGTGGAAAGRTCCATCAAGATCTGCTTAACAACAGCTGAAATGATTGTGAAAAAGGTACTTGTAGTTCAAGGCTCGGTTGTTCAAGGCCGGAGTTAAGCTCYAATCCATAGRWTTAACCCAGGACTCCACTTGTTCATTCATACATTTTTGTTTTTCAAGGACTTTGCTTTAGATCCCGAGGAGTCACGYATGCGAGCAGCGGCTCATCACATGGTTCGCTTCATGACAGCTGGAATGGCATTGATTACTTGCCGYGAACCCCTTCTCGTTAGCATCACAAATACTCTTAGATCGAGCCTACAGACAGCGTTCAGGGTGAGAAMCAACATGATCTTGCACTGGTCAGAGTACAGTGTTTGAATTACATTTGTTAATATCATATCTAATGTCAGCCGTCATTAGTTTTCCCTAAGCAGTATTTATGGCATTACTGAATACTTAATTTTCTCTATTTTTCTTAGATCTGTCATGAATGTTTCCGTTTAGTTGTCATTTCTAACATTTGTTGTTGTTATTTTAGAGTGCAAATCAGCAACAAAAAGACATGATTGAACATGCTGCATCAGTTGTGAGTGAAGAAAATACCGAGCTGGCTTGTTCATTTATCCAGAAGACAGCCGTGGAAAAGGTCCTTCCTGAAATGGACAAACGACTAGCTACAGTGAGTAGAACGKTTTTGCTTTTCACACAAATAAAGATGCAAAAATAGGGGAGAGAAGGAAGAAGAAAGATATCGCAGGTGGAAGGGAGAAGATGAAAGAGAGGGAAAGAAAGAAAGAAAGGAAGAGAGGGAGGGGAGTAAGAGGATGAAACAATAGAATAAGAAAAGAAAAGGGAAAGAAAGGGAGGAAAAAAGAGGGAACCGAAGSGAKTRAAGAGATGRAAGAAGACAGTAAAATATATCACAGCGAAAAGAGAATGAGGTAAAAACAAAGTTTTTGTTTCTTTCAGGAATTTGATGTTCGTCGACATGCACGTAATGAGGGTAGAAGATACTGTGATCCAATGATCTTGACTTATCAAGCAGAGAGAATGCCAGAACAAATMAGACTAAAGGTAATAACTTGCTACTTTTTGGGCTTCCTGATTTAGTCAAGTACCAGAAGGACTGGTAACTCCGTGATTGAACACGTACTGCTGCTAATAATTTATAATTTTATTGGTTTTGTAGGTTGGTGGGGCAAATTCAAACCAAACAGCTGTATATGAAGAGTTTGCTCGTAGCATTCCTGGTTTTAAACTGCCGCCATCAGGGGAGAGTATTGCTATGCCACCTGTTTCTAAACCTTTGTATGAACAGCATGGAATACTGAGCAGTGAGGTGAGTTGATACTGAAATCATTTCACAGCACGCTCTTCACCGTGTAATTAAATCTTTTCCTARAGTACATTCACTAAGTACAACTCGTTTGTTTTTGTAGGCATCCATCCCACCAATCCATGAAGACTTCCGACCTGAAAAACTATCTATAGATAGTGTCAACTATCAGCAGAGTGCCTTCCCACAATCCCTCATGCCCGACGAGGTGGTACAAATCCTCAACAAGTGTGCAGCTGAGATAGAGCAGCATCTTCATGCCATTATCGGGCCACCATCCAGTCCTCCAGTTATGGCTATCCATAGTCTACTTGATGCTGTAATGCAAGCAAGGAACTCCCGTGACAACATGGCTGCCGTTAGGCTTCTACATAAAGCAGTTGAAGGKCTTTTGGATGGCGTGACACCGTTACCAAGTGACCAGGAACTTGCGTTACGATTCCGTGACTGTCATCTTATTGTGTTACGTGGACTTCAAGACCCACGTGGTTATGGAATCAACTGGACGGCAAGAAATGTTACSAAGTAAGCATATGGCATAWCCTGGGACAATAGAAGCATAAKTKTCTTTTTCTTCTCAATTCTCTTCCMATCCTCTTTTCMTTCTTCTCTTTTTCTTTCCYRCAATGTTKATAYGTCAATKTTTTAYCTTGTCAGGTTTGTATGTGAATGTCCACAAGAACTAAAATTCAACGTTGAAGCAATCGATCTTCTAATTCGTGGCCATTTATTAAACATGAGAGAGTTCGACCAACATCTTGTCCAGGTACAAAATGTTTACTTTAGTAAAATCATATTAACTACCAATACTTTCACATCTGTTGTTGTTTTAASTGAGTTTTCWTATTTTCCAGTGCATGGATAATGGACTGAATCTCAGCGCAGTACATTTTGCTATCCAGCTTGTGAARTATGTGTCTGATGACAAACACTCTCCCCATGTTACAGAGGTAAAGCTGCTGTTTTGAGTGATCTAGTTCAACACAGAATATGAATGTTGTTCTTTGTTATCAGGGTGATCTTTATCATACCATTGAAGCACTGACCAGGATCGCGCACAGCAGACAGAACTCTGAAGGGTAAGTACTCGTATGATAACAGTCTACAACAATGACAACACCACCATCACAGTAACAACACCGACCACCAACACTAAAAACAACAACAGCAGCAGCAACAACATCAAGCAACAACCACAGCAATACCATCACCAACACCACAGTAACAACACCGAGCACCAACACTAAAAACAACAACAGCAGCAGCAACAACATCAAACAACAACCACAACAATACCATCATCAAAAACAACGGCAACAATAACTTCAGCACTACCACCAACAACAATAGCAACGGCAACACCAACAACAAAGCGATCAATACAAGCAACCACAGCTACAACAACTACAGCAGATCATCAGCAATGACCTCATGATAACACTAACACACTTCTGTATGGTCTAGGTTATCTACGCTTCTTGAGACTGTCCACAATGGACAATCCAACGTTGCCARTCACCCTGACAACAAAGCACCWGGTGGACCTACGTCAYTGACGCCAAACGCGATGCCATCTTTCTCAGGGTTTGAAGATCCCCCAGGATTACATGAAAAGGTAACGTAGAAATGTTGATTTAGTCTTTAYCTATATTTTCTCATCCGGTTTGAGTGTAAATTGTTTATTTATGYTTTTAGGTTGAATATCTTTTACGTGAATGGGTTCGACTTTGTCATCAACCTGGTGCAGGCAAGGACAGTGAGAAGGCTTTCTCTACATTTGTGGCTTTGGTAAGAACCTTTAGRTAGTCACCTTGATAATTATGGACAACCCGTCTTTGTGGACACTTAAGAGTCAACTTTCACCTTGTAGACACCGCGACAATGCCGAAAATAATCTCCTTTACAGCGGGCACTCGCCATTGCGGACACCATGTTAGGTTCTAGAAAGTGTCCGTTATAACGAGAGTTGACATTCGTACTTCAGTCCGTTGTAAGTTGAGCATGTTTTCATTGTCTTATTGTAGATGCACCAACAAGGTATCCTACGATCAGACGACCTCATTACAAGGTTCTTTAGAATCTGTACAGAGCTGTGTGTTGAAGTGACATATAGAGCCATTGCTGATCACGTGAGTTATTATAATTTCCATTAGAGTCACGTGATTAAAGTACTCAAATATGATATTTATTTGTCAGCCGAATAATCCAAACTCAGCTCGTGCAAAGTGCTTCAACACGCTGGATGCATACTGTCGATTGATAGCTTTGTTGGTCAGACATTCTGGTGATGCATCTAATAATGTAACCAAGATCAATCTGCTGAATAGAGTAAGTTGCAGTTTCATGGAAATCATTCCAGCTACTTATAGTTGCAATTGTAAAGAAAAGCTAGACTTGCCGTGTTGTAGATTCAATTGATTCAATTGATTCAATTGGCCGCGCATTGTTTCCTTTCTCTTGGAGACGTCCATTCATTCGTTCACTTTTTTATTTTCATTCATTCATTTGACCTTTCATGTTGTCCAGGTCTTGAGCACAGTTGCCACGGTTCTCTTCCAAGACCACGAGCTGCGTCACACAGACTTCCAACAGCTCCCCTACCACAGAATCTTCATAATGCTTCTATTAGAGCTTAACCAACCAGAACCAGTACTTGAAGCTATCAACTTCCAAGTACTACAGACATTTAGTACAGTATTCCATGCATTGAAGCCTTCTCGTGCTCCTGGATTCGCTTATGCCTGGCTGGAACTCATTTCACATCGACTATTTATGTCTAAACTCCTTCTTAACACACCACAGCAGAAAGGATGGCTGTTATTCCAGCAATTATTACTAGATTTGTTCAAGTTCTTGGCTCCTTTCTTGAGGAATGCTGAACTCGCAAAGCAAACGCATTTGTTGTATAAGGTAATATGATAATATCCAATATAAAATGATTATGTTATATATTAATGACAGATATCTATTCCAGGGTACTCTACGCGTTCTGCTGGTCCTACTTCATGAYTTCCCAGAATTCCTTTGTGACTATCACTTYAGTTTCTGTGAYGTCATCCCGCCCAATTGTATTCAAATGAGGAATTTGATATTAAGCGCATTTCCGAGAAACATGAGRCTACCAGATCCATTCACCCCGAATCTAAAGGTATGACAATCACAGAACCATGAGAGCTTTTCACTTATAACTAGAGGAAAAACAAACTATTTGTACGCTGTGGATAAAGTAAAGAAGAGATAATGAGTGCTAGCAATCATCACATTAATCATCAATCATTACACTAATCATCAGTATCATATTTATCATCATATCTGAATCATATGTTCTGTTGCTAGGTTGATCTTCTTACAGACATTGCTCATTCTCCACGTATTTTAACCAACATTGCAGCGGCAATTCAGCCTGCAACATTTAAAAAGGTATATCAAAACTTGCAATATATGCAAATTAATTATTACTCCTTGAGGAGACTTGATAGTACGGACACCTCGTCATTACGGACACTGGAAGAAATCCCCGTACTTAAGGAATTATTGAGAATTACTCCCTTTATAGCGGTCACTCGCTATAGCAGGAACTGCCATTAAAGTTTGTATGTTTGTTTTGTAGGATTTGGACTCTTACTTGAAAACTCGCGCTCCTGTCACGTTTTTGACTGAACTTCGTAGTCATCTACAGGTGGGTTCTTGTAATTGTAAAAAACGTTCTGAGAGAGCGAATACATCGATGTGAAAAACTCGATTTGTCGTCAGCCATAGCAAAATGGAATCCGATGTGAGAACATCGTTTCTCAAAACGTTTGTCTTCCTCTCTGGAGTGTAACAGTATATGTTGGGATATCAAAAATATATTCTTATCCAGGGGTTAAAATCATAAAATCTAAGGTGCTGATAACTTTAACACCCTTCGTACAACCGGCCCATATCTTCACATATTATCATCATCAGCATCATTCTTGTCATCATCATCATCTCTAATGTGATCATCAACGACTGACAAATATCATTGTGAAAGATTATTATTACCAACGTCTTCCTGCTGTATTGCGTATTGAATTAAGTACTTAGTAAGTWATATCTTTCAAGGTATCCACCGAGCCTGGTACAAGATACAATGTTCCTCTTATGAATGCTTTAGTCCTGTATGTCGGTACTCAAGCCATCGCTTACATACACAGCAAGAGTGGTACGCCGTCCATGTCGACCATAACTCATTCATCTCACATGGATATCTTTCAAAATTTAGCTGTGGACCTTGATACAGAGGGTAAGGGTARATWAGAGCGCGAAAAMMCTCCGTGAATTATAAGCCYATTTKACSAGATCTTTGGTAACARCAGCTCAAAGGTTTTCTAAAAATAKCCAGTTGTATGGTTAGAAAWRAATAAAATTTGCGCATACATCATCGGTTTGCTTTAAAATGTTAAACGCTGTTCAAAATAAGCTTCCTTCAGAAATRCCATGATTATGATTCWAYTGAACGWTTCTCATGTAAGTTTATCGTACTTTTAGGYCGGTATTTGTTCCTGAACGCCATCGCAAACCAACTGAGATATCCAAACAGCCATACTCACTACTTTAGCTGTGTTYTGTTGTACTTGTTCGCCGAGGCCAACACCGAAGCCATTCAAGAACAAATCACGAGGTAAGAAACTATCACTAGCGGTAAATATCTTTAACGTCAACACGTTGCTTCTAACATATTTACGTGGACGTCACGCTAACCAATTTATAGAAACGCAATAAAAACGCTAAATAACTCTGTATTAAGCGGTATAAAAATGGTTAAATGGATGTGAAAGCCCTTTATATAATTGTCTTGTGATTGTGGTGTAAATTGTGGTGTATTTTCTTTGACAGAGTTCTTCTAGAAAGGCTTATCGTCAACCGACCTCACCCATGGGGACTTCTCATAACGTTTATTGAGCTCATCAAGAATCACCAGTACAAGTTTTGGACTCATAAGTTCGTACACTGTGCTCCAGAGATCGAGAAGTAAGTCATTCTAAAGTTAAATTCATTTTAGTTAAACTGTATACAATAGTATGTTCACAGTATTTGTGGTAAAGGCATATGTTTTTGTTGTTAAAATTTTCTAACACTTTGCTTCAATAAAAGCCTTCAATAATTGTTGACAGCTGATGAAGTTGTCTTATATTTGAGTTGTACTAAAATACTGAGTTCTTGTTTTTAGGCTTTTTGAGTCTGTAGCAAGAAGTTGTATGCAGCAAAAACAAGTGTCGAGAGAAACAACTAACGAAGGACAAGAGTGAAAAGCTTCAACRTCCCCTCACTATCACAACACAACAAAAACATCTTGTTTGATATAAATTGCATGTTCCTCCATGCATGGACTTTATATCTGACAWGATCTACACACTGTAAAATATTTAACCCAGAGACAAGTTGTGAATGAGGGAAGTGTTAATAGAATGGCTATGTGATATAAGTTTTGTAAGAATTTTGTATGTTGATGTGCAAGAGAAATAAACATGTTTGTTTGAGTTGTGTTTGTTGTATTGATTTTTACTGGAAAACCCTGCCTTAGCATCCTTGCTCATCATAATTAGTTCCATTGCTTCTCCTASTATTTTTCTTGCCCTCCTGCTTTCGTCCTTACTCCTCTTACAGCTCCTATCCTCCCACTAGCACTATCCCTTGCTCCCTCCACCATCCTCCTTGGTCCTCTAGCACTTTTCTTACCACTCCTATCCTCCCCCTACCACTGTCCCTTACTCCTTCAACCATCCTCCTTGTTGTTCCTACCACTTTTCTTGCACCTCCTACCCTGCCCCTTTTCCTGGTATTTACCAATCTTGCTCCTACCACATTGTCTCTGATACCTTGGTGCAGTATCATAGTCTACCTAGTGTGATAATGTACCTAGTGCGGTACGGTATCATAGTGTACCTAGTGTGATAGTGTACCTAGTGTGATAGTGTACCTAGTGCGATACAGTATCATCGTCTACCTAGTGTGATAGTGTACCTAGTGCGG